TGCGCGGGCTGTGATTGGTCGGCGGGAGCAGGCCCCGCCCACCACCCCCCCATCAGCTGATCGTTAACTCACTTAATTTAAAAACCCTTTTATTGTTTTGGGAATTGATTCAAACAAATGATAATTAGTGTTGATTTACTCTCTCAGCAAAAACACAATTTTTTGCAGGAACCCCCTGCAAAACACACAGAACACCCCCAAAACACCCAAAAACACTCTAGAACACAACAAAACACCTCAAAAACACCCCATTAACACCCATAACGCCTATAAATACCCCAAAACACAGAACACACCCCAGAACTGACACAGAATGCGCCAAAAACATCCCAAAATTCTCCCAAACCCCCCGAAAACACGTGAAAACATTATATTAAAAACACCCACAAAACACTTGTAAATATCTCAAAACAACCATAAACACCCCCAAACACCTAAAAACTAACCCACAACACCCTAAAACCAAAACCTAACCACCCCAATATTCTCCAAAACGATCCCAAACACCCCAAAAATACTCCCAAAACAACTCAAAACACACCGAAACCCCCCAAAACACATCAAAAACACCCCAGAACACCCCAAAAACTGACACAGAACACCCCAAAAATATCCCAAATTCTCCAAGATCCCCCATGATGACCCTCAGACACCCCCAAAAAGATCCCAAAACACCACATAAACACCCCCAAAACGCCAGAGCACCCCCCAAAACACCACAGAACACCAAAAAAGCACAACGAAATACCCCAAAAACTCCACAGAACACCCATAAATACCCCAAGAACACCCATAGTAACCCCCTAACACCCCCAAAACACCTAAAAAACACCCAAATAAAGACTCCAAAACACCCCCGAAACACCACAAAGACTCCACAGAACACATAAATATCCCACACACAAAAACAACCAAATGCCCCCAAACATATAAAAAACACCACTTAAACACCCCTAAAACACATCAAAAGACCCCCCAGACACCTCAAAACACAACAAAACACCCATAAATAACCCAAAACACCACATAAACACTCCAAAACCACCGTAGAACACAACAGAACACCCCCAAAACACCCTAGAACAAAACAAAACACCCAGAAACACCACACAAACTCAGAACACCCCA